TGCACAGAGATGCCGGGAAATGACTTTTTTCAGCTTAAAATAATTCTCCCTGCCAAAACTTTCGCGAGGTCGTACTTGGCACCCGGAGTTACATGAAGGCTGTATTTAAATTTGCCGGGTCGCACCTAGGCGAGGAATATTCTACTAAACTTTTAGCTTTCTAGCTTCTCTGGTTCCCGAATTAAAACATCCGAATCAAATGCACTCGGAACACACACACGCACATACACAGAGTCTCGACAGCATGCTTTTTTCGCAACCGTTGCAGCACAAGACGCAAAATGTGGAACTTGGTTCAAACTATACAGATATGCTAGCAGTTTCTGGACTCGAAGTTACAATTTGCATATGCTTGCTACAATTTTTCTTATATATTTACCATGAGCAACCTTCCAATCTCGGGATTCCTCCTTTTTAATCCTCTAAAATTTGGTGACAAAAAAGTAAGTACTCCCGGATTTCAAATAATAATCTGCTAATACTCTCGGAATTCAAGCGAGGAGCTGTGATTACTCTCGGAGCTCAGACATGAGCTATGAGTACTCTCGGATTTCAGATGATAAGCTGCTAATATTCTTGGAATCCAGATGATGGGCTGCAAGTACACTTGGATTTTAGACAGTCTGCAAAAGCTGGCAACGATCCACAACTGCTTCCAGAATCAGGGCAAAGACGTTGCACAGCAAATGAGTACTTGCACAGATTCGGTGACTAATGAACACTGCATTCTTAATTTTGTGAAAAAGAAAAGTTGCGAGACAGCAGGGTTCCCCGGTATGCTTATTTTGACTTGATTTCTCGACTTTTGCTAAATGGAATTTCTACGTGATACTGACGAAACCATAAAACTTACAAAACAGAAGATTTGTAAAAAGTGGAAGCAAGCATGCGTACATAAAGTGCCGAATGTATATACACAACAGTAAGGGACGAGGAGGCGAGAAGTGGCGACAGACTACTCGGTGTTACCTCCATCGTTGCGAACACCAGAAATAAGCAATCACAAGTTGCTAGCGCCAACAGCAAATTCCTAAAAACAAACTAAACTTCGTTAAAAGCCCTAGGCCAG